AACTCTGAGGCGTCCAGCCCCCCACCCCAGGCGTCGTTGATGCCCTCAAAATCTTCCGGAAGTGTGGAGCCATCGTTGCTGAACTCAATGCCTCCGTAGTTGCCCTCAAATCCCTCAACACCAATGTGGGTTGACTCGGTGGCTGCCGGCGGGGGCAGAGTGGTCACCTCAAGCCCCGCCAGGGCCTTGCTCACGTCTGAAACCCCCGAGTCCCTGTCCTTCTTGAACCCTTCCATCAGCATCTCCTCAGGCTTGTTGAGCCGGTCACTGGCGGCGAACGGGTCCTTCTCCACCTCAGCCTCCTCGGTCTTCACCGCCGGCAGCTCCTTATCCTCCACCTGCTGGAAGAATCCCAGGGTGGCTGCCGCCACCTCATCCCCAGCCACCAAGGTCTCCGGAGGCAGCTCGAAGAAAGCGCCGGAGAATGCTTCCAGGCCAGCCTCATGTTCCACAGCATGGGGCTCCACAGAGCTCCAGCTGTCGGCCCCACGGATCTTGCTCTCGGTATGGACGGCTGAGTGGACCATCTTGGCGATGCCATCGCCGTGCATCGAGGCCAGCATGGCGGCAAGGCGGATGCTGCTGACTCCCCGGAGGACGATGTCGAGGGCCATGTAGACCTCCGCGTACTTCTTGCCCAACTTCTCTGGGGTCACGTCCACGCCACGGCAGGCAGTGACGATGACAGAGACAGCCTGGTTGACGACGTTGATGCACTCGAAGACGTTGTTGTTGGAGTCGTCGATGGTGGTGACGGCGAGGACGTAGATCGAGTTCACCAGGCGGTACACGACGCGGTAGCGGGACTCAACGCCGACGACGACCTGTCCGGAGGAGGCGGCCAGAGGGTCGTCACCGAGGGAATCGGCGGACGGATCCGGGGTGGCGGAGGAGGACTGGTGGTGGGTCTTGGCGAAGGAGAGGCGAGTCTCGCGGAAGGCGGAGAGGGCCATGAGCGCGCGGGAAGGGGGGAGCCATTCTCGGGTCTGGAGCAGTATGTCGGACCCATTGGTGGGCTGAAGGGCCAGCGCCAGACACGACATTTAGATCGAGGGTACTGATCTGAGAGCTTTCGGTACTGGAATTCGGTCTAGGGTTTCAGCACACAACGAATTTGAAATCTACTGTCGGAAAATTTGAAATTGGGATCTTGGTTTCAGGTTTTTGTGAAGAAGATCCGATTGCTAAGTTCGTTGCAGAGATCGGAGAAGGGAGGGTGGAGGAGGAGGGATTTGTGCGTAATGTACAAGTTTAGGTGCTGAGTGTACAATACCAAATCGAAGATGTTCTACTTCGTGCTGAGGGGGTGATGAATCTGATGATCACTCATTACATTTTTTGAGTAATTACAGCTTTCATCCCCATTCTTCCGTACCTTTCTGAAATCGCCCCTCAACTTTTGGAATTTCAGCATTTTTAGCAATTTTATTTTAATAAGGAATTTTTTTTATCTGAACTATTATGATTTTGGCGTTATACCATTTTATTTTTCAAACAACCATATAAATTACACGTTTTTTTTTTTTTTCACTTTACTCTCGAAAATCATATTTAAAGTAGTTTTGTAGCAAAAAAGCTTACAAGGACATTTTGGTAATTACAAATTTTCAAAATATTATAAAAATACCCAAAGGACCAAATCATAACTTATAGACTTTTCCAAAATAACAAATTGACTCATCTTCTTTGTCAAATTCTCAACTACTGGCCTATTTTTATTCATTTTTATTTTCTTATTAAAAAAATTAAGAAAAACAAGAGTTCCGCCAACTAAAACCTCCCGTCATCGACTAAGATTTCCTCATCAACAGCCAACTAAAACATCCCGTCATCGACTAAGATTTCCTCATCAACAAAAATATTGCTCCGTAAACTGGCATGGCTTGCTAACTACCCGAAGCTACTTCTACATCTTCCACACGACAAACACTTACAGCCCGTTCAAGATTGTGACCATAATACTCTTTCTTCCCAGACAAGCCTTTTGTTCTGCCCAATTCGCAAAGTGAATTGGGTCGGTACGTCAACAACACTCTCACGTCCAAGATCACATTCCGAAATATCCAGTCCCTGGCCAAAAGCTCGTTGGCCAACAACGTCCTCACGTCCCCATTCCTTACCTTTTTCAAAATGGTCGACTAAGTGTTTTAAATATCGTATCGGTAGCCACCGGTACGCGGTATTACCGATCGGACTTGTAATATCACCCGGTAATAACGGTGGTAATATCGGACTAGCAAATCCAATGATATACATAAATTTACATAAAAATATATAATACCAAATGAAAAAAAAAAGTAAAAAAAAAAAATGAATGACCATAATCATTAATTTCAATTTCTCAATAAGATAAAAATAAAGCATTTTAACTGCCAATTTAAATTTTATGTTTTTAAAATAATAAATTTTATTTTTCTTAATTTTTTTATTGGCCGGTATTTTTCAATATTTATGTATGATCCCGGTACAAACCAATATAACTGTAAATTCGATATTTTATGTGTAATTGTACCGTACAATGACAGGTATCCGGTATTACTAGTATTACCGACACGGTATTTAAATCACTCGATCGACTGAGCGAGCTTCTCATGAAAGCTGTGCAGCTCGGCCACGTTCATCCCTCGGGCCTCCAACTTGTACACAACGTCCTTCAACTACTTCGCATGGTTCACAAAATCTATCATATATTTTGCTTCCAGCGCGTCCTCAAGGTGTCGATTTTGTGTTGTACTCTCGTGACCAGAGTCGGCCCTGGCCCAGGGTGTAACGCCCCAATCAGTTAATAAAATGATTCTGTTTCACTTGCTCGACTTTAAAGTGAATTCGGTAATATTCGAACCCTAGAGTTGTTCGACTAAGTATTTTCAAGAGTTATTATGTGAAATATGTGCTTATATGTGATATTATGTGTTTAATTGTTTTATTATTTGTTATGTATGTTAGTGTATTCAAGTTATATAGTTTGTTCGTGCCAAGCATCTGAGTTCGTGCGTTGAGCCCTAGTTGAGCCCTAACCGAGTGCCTAGTCACACGTTTGTACCGAATCGAGCCTTCGGCCATTGAACCCTAGACTCCTAAAGCCGTGGTACTAGCACTTAGCACCCTAATAGGTTAAGTGCTCGGACTTAGTAGTGGCCTCGAGCCATCATGGTGTCGAGAGCACGCAAGATATTGCACGCGCGAGCCACTCATGTGCATGCGCACGAGCTCACTCGAACCATTGGTGCCGAGTTCTAAAGTCCACCATGGCCCTCTCATTTAAGTAGCCTCATTTCATCCAGATGTTAGGATGCGTATTGGGCATTTTCTCCATGCAAAGTTAGCTTTAAGGAGCATTAACACAAGTCAAAACTCATTTAGTCATTCGTTATGCTTAATTAAGCAACATGGGTATTTAAATATTTTAATTCACATGTGTAGAGCTTGTCTTGCTCATGCACCTGCCCGACCAGACCTGGTTCCTCAACCATTATCCTATAATATCTTACTAGAGAAAAATATACCTCCATCTTCAGAAAATATACCTCCATCTTACGAAACTTTCATCCTTTAACGAAGGGAGAGCCATAACCAGACGTAGAAGATGGGAATTTTCCAAGAAATGTCTGGTTTTCAAGAGGTAACTGTTATTTTGGTTAATTTAATATTAATTGCTTTCTTAAAGATATTCATTTGTCATCTAAATGTTTTATTTCTCACTAAAATTAAAATTCCAATTTATAGGCTACACTTGCTACTGCTAGTAGTTCCAAAAGAAAAAGGAAAGATGTCGCCAAATCACCAGGTTTTTCAATGGACGATACAATTTTCTTACACAGAACAAAACTAGCAACACTGCTCAAAATCAATAAAAACTTGACTCCCAGCCAGCGCCATTGTTTAGACATGGTTGGATTTGGGACATTATCGCGTATGAACATTTCACAAATGGATTCAAAGTTTCTCACTTTGTTGGTTAAAAATTATGATCCAATATCAAGAACTATTACGTTTGGAGGTGAGAAAATTATTTTTTCACCCGTTGTTGTGGAGAAACATTTCGGTGTTTCAAGTGAAGGAATGGTAAAATCTAAAACTGTCGATGGTAGAAACACGTACCGTAATTTATTTTCTGGGAAAATAGGACAATTCATTGGATTTCCAGAGCTTCATAATATGGTCTCAAATTGCAAGACGAACGGGACTGAATTCATAGTTCCATATTTGATGTTGTTTTTTGCCACGGTGTTGTTTCCACGGTCTAAGGATACACCAGACTATGATTTTAAACTACTTAGTTGAATTAAATGCTGTCCAAGAATACAATTGGTGTGAAATAATTCTGCAAAAGTTAGGTGACAGAATTACGTTTGTGCAATGCAGTAATAAATCGTACGTCAGGGGATGTATTCTACTACTGCAGGTACACTATCGATATATACATCATATGCTAATAAAATGTTGCATAAGATATCTTTCAAACTTCCTTTTCAACTATTGTAGGTGGTTTTCCTTGGTTATGCAAGATCATTTCAAATTGTCTACAAAGAATTGCATACTCGATCCCCTTTTTTAGAACAATGGAGCCAGCAATGTAACACCCTGCTATATCGTAAATATCAGAGTTAATTTTCGCAAAATTCTTTCCTTAAAATACTTATTAGTTTGCGAAATCGTGACTCGGAGTGCTACCATAACTCGTTACTTTGCATTGAAATCCGTTATCTTTATATTAGTTTTTAAAGAAAAACGGTTTGTCATAATATAAACAGTCTGACCGGTAAATCGGACCCAAAACGGCTAAGTTTGACAAACAGTAAAAGTCAGCGGAAAACGTAGCGTGGCAAAACATATAATAATTCAAACTATGGGAGATAGTAACAGTACTGCTATGCCAAATTCAAACTGTATAAACATGATCCTGAACCGCCCGTCAGCTCACACCTCTGTCCGACTCTGTGACCTGCTAAACATAGATAAACATAGGGCGTGAGCACTAAAGTCCATTGTGCTCCGTAGGAACTCATACTAAGGTAAACTGTGAAAATAATTGCAATATCATGATCAATAGCATGTAGAAACGTGGTACCGGTACAATATAAAAATATGCCCTGGCATGACATAGCATAGATGTAGCATAGCTACAATATCTGCCAACACAAACATGCTGGACACCATGTGCACACTCTAGTGGGCAGATAAGGCCACTAGAACCTAGAATGGGTTTACGCACCTGGACACGGCTACCATTCCAACCGGATACATAACATGATACATACCTCAAACATGGTAGAGTAATTATAATCAATGTAATACCCAGTCTGAGTCCCCACCTGAACCGTAGATATGAAAATGGTAGTGCTGATGACTGTAGACTGATCAAACTGTAACATGATATAAACAAATACTAAGTACTATGCTCAGACTGATTAAAATAACTGGTTAATATGTCAGGATGCTTGACTT